TACTTTTATTTCATGGCTCAATCCCATCATCACAAATATAATCAAGTTCAAGCAATGAATGATATCGAAAGAGAGGGGAAACATCAGGATAACAAAGAGATTTAAAATTATTTTTGAGTTAAATCATTGCTGGTTTAAAAACTTATGTTGTTAAGTGCAAGCAACCAGAACAGATCCAAGGTCAAGAGATTTGTTTATTGTTGATTCACTAGTTCAGAAGAATCTCACCAAATTGCCCACCTTCCCTTGGGAAAGCCTGATTTAACCCTAAATGTTTAATCTCATACACTTCCTCCCCCCCCCAAAGAGTCCAAGGTAGTGTATCTCTTAACTCCTATTCTATCCTTCTTCCTTTCAGCTATTGATTCCACCACATATACTAAGGATTACTTTATTCACAGCATCCATATAAAAAGAAGATTTGTACCCTCATGAGTACCTCTAATTATATTCTTATCTCACAGTTGGAATTATGAAAAGTTCAATGTTTCATAGCCTTTAAAAATATGATTCTCAGTGGAGTGGGCAGTTGAATGAAGGATGCGTATGTCAATGGGGGAACCTGGGATGGGTGAATATTCAGAATTAACGGACAACAATCTGTACTCAGTTTACTTCATTTTTATTTTTTAATTTTATTCAACAACTTTCTTTTTAATTTTCTGGCCACATTTCCTGTAGGGTTGTTTATCCTATACAAAAAGTCCACAAGCGGATGAAAAGCTATAGCTAATACTCTTTCTTTTGCCCATTTTCTCATTCTCTTTTCAGCCAACCAACTTATCAATATGGAGGAGAACTGATATTGGGAGGCATTGACCCCCAGATGTACACTGGGGAAATTACCTGGGCCCCTATGACTGACCAGGGTTACTGGCAGATCGGTATAGAAGAGTAAGCGATATTCTTTATTTCTGATTTATATCTTCCATTTTATTTGAATGAGTTGCTCCTTCACCCTTTATAAATGATGGAAAGATATTCCTCTCTCTTGTTGGTTAGCTACATTAGACTTTTGGCAGAACTGATTAATCTAATACTTGTTTGCTACCTCTAAATATGTTTGTGGCAAGCAATAAGAGACAGGCCTTCTTCTGCCAAGGACACAAACTTGGAAAACAGATGGGCACTTCTCATCATCCACCCAGCCAGCCAGCCAGCCAGCCAGATCCTCAATTGGCTAGTACTATACCTGCCATCCTTGGGTGGAGTGCAGAAAACTAAAAAACTGACTGTAAATATAAAATCTTCGTAAGAATCAACAAAGAAAACAGACCAAGGAGCAAGATGCAGTCAGCAGAAACAATAATAGTAACAATAGTCATAATATCAAATCATCTTAATACATTTATATATAAAAAGAGCAGTATTATAGTAATATTTTATTTGTAAGAACAATAAAATATTTTAAAACAACTTATTAAAAAAGGCTTCATCATCGAAAAGAGTGAGATGCAATTTTCAGATGAGTTTCTCATTAGGGAAATTTGAAACCTTAACTTCCATCACTACATTCAAAGCCCTAGAATTGCAAGCCACAAGTTTGAATTAAAAATAAATAAATAAAAAGAAAAGTAAAGGTTGTTTTAAATACAAATAAAAATAAATAAATAAAAACGACCTTTCAATCAAGAAGATGGAAAGCCTGATGAGTGTTGACATACATTTATGAAGAAAAGTTGATAAAAACCCATTAGCAACACAATCCTAAGCATGTTTGGTTGAAAGAAAATGCTACTGAATTTAGCAAAGTACACCACTGAACAAATATATTAAATAACTTAATATACTGTGGAGTGTGAAATCTATAGAGGAGATACATTCTCTCATACATGAAGCTATCGAATATTTGAAGTTCATTCATTTTGCTTTAAAGATTTTGTTTTTGGTAATTGGCTTCCAAAATTTCTAGTAGAGATCTTTCCAAAGATCAGTTGCAATATTCATGCCTGTTTGCTTCTGTAAATACAGCAGAATGTTTAGTGGACATACTAATTGTAAAATATTGACCAATATTTATGCATGATCATAACTATGGTGCCAACATTAATAGCTACTCCTCCAAGAAGTATGGCATCTGCAATTAAATGTCCCATTGATTCTTGATCAGCCTTCCTCAAATTGATGCTTTCCACATTTGTTAGATTTCAACCATCCTGAGCCATCATTGCCTTTGTGGGCTATCTGGTTGGTAAAGGCTGATTAAAGGCTGTATGTAGAGTCCATAGGCTTTTATTTGTTTTATCAATTGTTGTCTGCTTTAGTTGTTTGTAACTGTTTTGGTAATATTCTGTGTTCTTATCTATAGATTTTCTATTGGCAACAAGGCCACTGGCTGGTGCAGTGAAGGCTGCCAGGGCATTGTGGACACGGGAACATTTTTGCTAACTATTCCACAACAATATTTAACGGATTTCGTTCAGACTGTAAATGATGGTTACGATGGTTCAGTAAG